GATCGGCTACTCAATCTCAGACAAAGTTTTTTACAAATGAAAGTTCAATAAACCTATAACGAATTGAACTAAGGAGAAATTTAGAAATTAAGCCTCAGTTTATTGATTAAATTAAATTCAGGATATTTTTGATTAAAATTTGAACCTGATCAAAAACCGAAATCAAAACAAACATACAATATTTACATAATTTTATACACCAAACCAGACAAATGTGGTTTCAAATTTGGAAATTTTCAAACCCGAACTTGATCCTAAATCCGAAATACAACCTCTAGTAAAGTAGTAATTAATCAGTCCAGTTTTAGATGGCAGTAAGGTTAAACAACGATATGTTCGTTTTAGATGAAACTCTTGAATTTATTTCTTTCCTTTATGCTATTCTAAAGTAGATTTAATGTTCTTGCCTTTCTTACCACAAAATTATAACTCAAGATTAATGCTTCATGGGTAATTTTTTTTTTTTTTGGTTGAAATGTGAAATTTATTGATCAACAAACGAAAAAAATTCTTACATGAGTTCGATCATATTAGCTAAATTTGAGAGCTTGGACAAGTTGAAAACAAAAGAGACAAATGAAAAGACTCCTTTCCAAAAACCAGAGGAGTATCAATTAGCTTGGGATGCATGTTGATGCTGTCCACAGATGCAACATTTCAGCTAATCTATCATCGTCCCCATGGTAAGCAGCTTGTATTCGATTTTGGACGTCTTTATCAATGATCCTGGTAAGGAGAAGTACTGGTCATGGGGTTGATGGTGTCTTCTATTGTTCTGTTCTCTCCAAACTCCGAGACAGTAGCTTGAAGAGCAAGGCGAAGCAATAGAGATTCATCTCTGTTTATGGATTGTCGGGTTAGAGAGCGGAGAGTAATCTCCCAATCTGGGTTTATTCTCTGTCCGAGTAAACTGCAGCAGAGCCAGTTCCAAATGGTGAAAGAATAAGGGCAGGCTAGAAACAAATGATCCCTAGATTCATTGGTTTCTCCACACAACAAGCAAGGTTGATTTAACAATCATCGTCTCATACGAACCCCCGGTGGATAGTCTATCCCTTACGACAAGCCAGGTAATGAAACTATAGCGAGGGATCGCATGAGCGAACCATACTATCTTGTGCCACCACATCCTCGGAGCTGCAGAACTAATTTGTTTCCACGTTGCTCTAGACGAGAAATGATACTTGAAGCCGGATGCCTCCATTTCACTTTATCCCGATCAGCCGGAAGAGGAACCGGATGTGATCTAATTCTCTGAACCAGGTCTTGAAGATATGGGCCTCTACAACGTCTTATTCCCCAAGTATCTCCTTGTTTTACCTCTGAGACCTTGGCATGGCGGAAACACCAAGATGTTGAGGGCCAATATGATGCAGCGAAATATCATTATTATCTATTTAATTATTTAGATTTATATTTTAATGAATATCTTTTCGAATATTCTGGAATGTTCCAGGTATTTCTAGGGTTTTATGCTTTATTATAAATAGCCTTCTTAAACCTCATATTGTATTAAGTTATTAATGAATTATTAATCGAAAGATTTAAAGAGGTTTTGATAAACCACTGTGAAGAYTATTCACAACCCTAAGAGDTTTTGCGAAAYCCCTGAGAYGAYGACTCTCAAACCCTAGTTTRCGGGTATTRTCAGAATCAACGGATCTYGTTCTATCCCTAGAAGCTTCCGCTCCATCAGTTGGTATCAGAGACAATCCCTTTGATTTCTCAATCGAAGACCGATTCTGGTGATCATGGTGAGTCCAAGCGTCTACGCTATCCAGGACGAAATTCCATTCGTTGAAAGAGAAGAAAACCATCAGATCTACAGGGAGATCTACGGTGATCCTATCTTCGACATATATGAAGACGATGTTCAGGTTGTTGACTTCGTCTTCAAAACTGGATCTTTTGAAGATCAGATTCGTGCAAAATCCGTTCGTGCAGAAGCCGGGCGACTTCAAGGTCCTGTGAAATTCAAGCAAGATCAAGTCTGTGCAGACATCGTGTTTTGTGCAGAATTGGGGCGAAACTTGGATCGGGCAAAATCTGGGCGATTGCAGATCTGCGAAAATTTCAGAGAGTTATAGGTCTGTGCAGATTCGGTTCGTGCATATCCGGTTCGTGAAAATTTCGTGCAATTTCTGGTTTATGCAGAAACAACAAAACCGATGTGGAAAACCGGATGAAGATTCGAGGATGAATCTTTCTCGGCCGGGAGGAGCTGATGCAGAGCAGATACAAGATTCGAGGATGAATCTTTTCTTGACCGGCGAGACCTGATGCAGCGAGATATTTGGAATATTTCCAAATATCATTATTATCTATTTAATTATTTAGATTTATATTTTAGTGAATATCTTTTAGAATATTCTGAAATGTTCCAGGGATTTCTAGGGTTTTATGCTTTATTATAAATAGCCTTCTTAGGCCTCCTATTGTATTCAGTTATTGATTGAATTATTAATCAAAAGATTTAAAGAGGTTTTGATAAACCATTGTGAAGAGTATTCACAACCCTAAGAGGTTTTGCGAAAGTCTTGAGAGGACTTCAAACCCTAGTTTCCAGGTATTCTCAGAATCAACGAATCTAGTTCTATCCCTAGAAGCTTCCGCTCCATCACAATATCACCAGTGATGCGTATGAGAGGTCCTATTCCAAGCCAATCATCAAACCAAAAGAATGTGTCTTTACCGCTTTGGATTTCGTGTTGTATGAAAGTGGCTGCGAGAGGTCGGAGCTTAAGAAGCTTTTTCCATATCCACGAACCACGATTGCTTGCTGCTATATCCTAGAAAGACGAGTTACGAAGAAGATAAATTTTTGTCTAAGCAACCCAAAGGGAATCAGTCCCCTCGAATAATCTCCATATCAATTTTAGAGAGAAAACCCGAGTAACATCCCGCAATTCGAATTTCTAATCCTCCCTCTCTTTTAGGTCTACATACATCCTCCCAACTTACCTTTGATTTTGTGGCACTATGTAGTGATCCAGACCACAAAAACGCAAAGCACATCCTCTCAATAGACTCCAAGCATCGCTTAGGAAGTTTAAACACGGAGCACCAAAAGTTTGAAATACTAGCGATGACCGATTGGATAAGTTGCAGGCGGCCAGCGAAGGAGAAAGACTTGCTTGACCATGAAATCATACGAGTGCGAATCTTGTCGATCAGGGGCTCATAGTATAACTTGGACATACTTTTTGTAGTGAGGGCAGGCCAAGATAATGGATTAGAAGCGTCTCAATTGGAAACCTAAACTCAGTTGCTGCATTCTGAATCTCAATTCCCTTTTTCCCTGCAAGAATAGAGAAGATTTGGTTGCATTTATGATTCAAAACAATCAGTGCACCATATAGAGAATTGGTAGTTCCGTCCATGAAAACCCTCATGTCGTCAACGAAACTTAAATGAGTCAAGTTGAGCTCTCTACAAAGCAAGAGATAACCGATCAATCTATTTAAGGCTGCTTTGTTAAGTAGAAGAGATAAGACATTGATCGCCATCACAAATAAGTAAGGAGACAAAGAACAGCCATGTCTTAGACCACGCTTACAGTAAGATTTGTGTTTTGGTTTCGGTTTTTCGGTTTAAACCGAAACTTATGGACTATAAATATTACAATCCAATGGGTATAACCCATATAACTGCAACCGAAACCATACCCCTTTTCGGTTCGATTCGGTTTTTCGGTTATGGTATTTTTGCCTACCCCAAAACAGATTTGTGTTTCGGTTTCATGTAAAATATAGCCAACAAGATTAAATTGCAGCAGATATTGATGATGATTTTCGT